CTGAAGAAGGGTCTAGGCCCGAAACGTCAGTTTTCCTGCTCCTCTGATGCTGCTTGGCCTGCTTTGTTCATCCAGCTCTACAGCTTGTTATCTCAGAAATAAATACAAGTTGTGTTTGAAAATAAATTTAGGAAAAAGAAATAAAATTGAAAAGGACTAATGATCAAGCAACAGCTGTTTGTAGCAGTACCAGAAAAATTCTATTTTTTGAAAGGAATGATGTAATCATGACAAACTTGATTATTGCACTTTAAGCTATGAATAATGTAATAAATTCTCTATAAAGTTTAATCTCACTTCTGCTGCTGTAAAACCCCAGGTACTTTCCAACAATATAGGTACTGAAGAACTAATATATTCATGAGTTAATCTGCATGAAAAAGTCTTGCAAGCCCATAAAAACACACACATATAAGACATGTGTGTAATTAGTAAGTCTCAAATGTAAAAAAAAAGTATTAACAGCTTTGAGAATCATTATGATGCAAAGACTGTAACACATTTAAGTACCAGAATTATGTAAATGTGTGTTTATGTATACAGTTTACCAAGATAACAAAACAGATTTATGAAAATACTAGTCATCCACTATTATATGCTTATAGATAAGCAATCAGAAAGATTAGTGAACACACTCAAGTGGTTAAAAACTTAATTTTAATTAAGTATATTAAGCTCTATTAAACTAATAATACCTATAAAACTTACGTAATTGGACTGTTCGTACTTTCCCAGCATCAGTGCTGCAGGGTTGGATTAAAGGAGCAAAAGACACAGCCAAGATTTTTTCAGTTTCCCAAGTATTCAATCCTGTACGCGTTATTTTAGTTAGCTGCATAAAATAATTCAGAGAAATAATAAATTACAAGTAGAAATCACGATTACCAAGAAGAGAATTTTAAGAAATGTGACAAATCCCCAATGGTTGAAATGAAAAATCTATACACACATAGGATTGTTTGCAAACTTTTACTGATGGACTGAAAAACCCCAGGAACATATTACACAATTTCTAGCTTGTATGCTAGAGGTAAAACTCAATGCTGGGAACAACTTTAAAAAAATTGTAATACTGATTTACAGTATTTGATAGAGGACACAGAACTAAAACCTTTTAAAATGCCATTAAAATATGACTAATACAAAATGTTTATAACATATATATCAACAAGAATACAATGCAACAGATCCAGCACAAATATATGGCAAGTAGATACTTGTAATGTTACGTGGTGCAATAGGCACAGTCAAAAAGATATAGCATCTGAAGGAAGTGCTTCAAAACTAAAAAAATTTAAAGTTTAATTCATGTTACTACACTGACAAAAGCAGTGGACAAATTTCATTCAGCAAGATGCCATACAAAAAATGAACTCAGCAATAAACACAAAGAACTGAGGATGCTGGAATTCTGAAACAAAAAACAGAGCGCTGGAGAAACACAACAGGTCTGGAGAGAAAAATAGTTAACATTTTGAGTTCAATGATACTTCAGGACTAGTTCTTCTGCTTTTGGTGATGATGCCTATGAAAATCAGTCAGGAGAGTTTAGAGTTATCCAACATATTCTACAGATAGTTTTTAACAATGTTTTGGACTCGGTGTGCTGGACTCCTTCTTTAGTAAACATGTTCCACTCAAATTCAAGGAAAGGAAACACTGGCCAAGTAGTTCATGTCAACTCAGTTTCCTTATAATTATTACCTTACCACAGAAAACTTTCACTGAAGTATATCATTTATTTCAGAAGATTTTTTGAAATAGGCTTCTATGCTGTTAGCACAACAAAACCCAAGGTTCATGTCACTTGATCACAATTTCTTGATTAATCCAGGAATCATTTTACAAAGTCAGGATACTTGTGTGGAACCTAACTGATGGGAGTATGTAATGGAAAATGCAATTACATGCCTCTTAAAAGAATAGGTTGGGAAGGTGGGTGATCAGCTGTTTAGTGGGAATATGATAAAAGAACAGCAGGTGGATCTCACAAGCAAGATGAACTTAAAAAAATGAGGGAGATAGGAAAGAAACAACAGAACACTACAAATTCGAGATTAGGGAAGGAAGAAGCTTTAGGGAAGTTTGGTTTGGTGGAGCAGGGGTGTAGCAAGGCCACAGAATTTTATTGAGAAAGGAGGTCATGGGCTCCTTTATATTGTTTTGAAGATAAGGATAAAGGGAATAAGAGAGGAATTTAAGAATATAGTTTAGAGTGAAGAAAATAAGCCAAAGGTCTCGTTGAAATCCAGGATCACTCAAAGTCATAAAAAGCTTTGGGAAAGGATAACAAAGTTCGAGAGTGCTTGTATGGTTCAGCTAGATCTGGATGTTTAAACTAATTGTGTGTCAGGTACCTTCAAATCTTCATTTCTTGAATTTGTGGGAGTGTTAACATAGGTCTTATCAAGGGAACAATCTGATGGGAGAAAATAAGAACACCAAAGGCATAAATGAAGGAGTGACTGACATGAACTACTGGAGAAGTATTGCGGAGAATGGAGGGCCAGAAATTTTAGAAATCTGGGAGTTTCAAGGTGCAGTTGTAAGAGGTTATAAATTGAAGGGCAAGAAATGATTTTCTCCAGGAGTGAATGCTTAAGGAAGTAGGATTGTGGAGAATGTGATGTGAGGTGTGAGGACAAAACGAAGCAATCATAGCCTTGTCCATGATCGATCTGAAGGGCGTAGACTTTATGCCAGATGACACGGTTGAACGTGATCATTTTCGCTGCAAAAGTGGAAGCATAACATCAATTTCACATCTCTACTTTAAATTTACCTTCTCTTCCAATGGCATGACAAGGATTCCACCAACTTTAATCAAGTTTCTCATGTACTCTTCATGATCCTTCTGAACTCCTGCCCCACAGTAGACTCGATCATACTGATGACTGTCTGAAGCAATCTCTAAACAGTTTCCCACTACAAAGGATGGCTCGCAGAATTCAAACCTAAAATTTATAACATCATATTAGATGTGTGAACTTCATTTCACCACTACAATAAATTAATATTTCTCAGATTGACAAGATAAATTCATCATGTGTCATATGTTGGAACTTCCTTTTATTCGTGCACAAGTGATTTACATGAGTTCAACTACCCTAGGCTCAACGGATACCAAAGTAAACAGTATAAATGGTGAGTAAGAACGCAGGAGACACAAGTCACTTAACTTAGAGACAAGTTAGAGGGAGTGATCAGAATTGAACATAGAACATAGGGCCTGTACTATGCTGTACAGTCTTCGGCCCACAATGTTGTGCCGACCTATTATCCTACTCTAAGATCAAAACTAACCTGCATACCCTTCATTTTACTATCATCCATGTGCCTATCCGAGAATTGCTTAAATGTCCCTAATGTATCTGACTCTACTACCACTGTTGGCAGTGCATTCCAGGCACCCACCACTCTCTGTGTAAAGAACCTACCTCTGATATCTCCCCTATATCTTCCTCCAATCACCTTAAAATTATGCCCCCTCATGATAGTCATTTCTGCCCTGGGAAAAAGTCTCTGGCTATCCACTCTATCCATGCCTCTCATCATCTTATACACCTCTATCAGTCACCTCTCATCCTTCTTCGCTCCAATGAGAAAAGCCATAGCTCCCTCAACCTTTCCTCATAAGACCTGCCCTCCATTCCAGGCAGCATCCTGGTAAATCTCCTCGGCACCCTCTCCAAAGCTTCCACGTCCTTCCTATAATGAGGCGACCAGAACTGAACACAATATTCCATGTGTGGTCTAACCAGGGTTTTATAAAGCCGCAGCATTACCTTGCGGCTCTTAGACTCAATCCCCCTGCCAATGAAAGCCAACACACCATACACCTTCTTAACAACCCGATCAACTTGGGATCACAATCAAAATAACAAAATACTTGGAACAAACAAAATTCAGTTAAAATAAATGGAAAGAGGAACGCCTTAGAAAAAGAACACAGAATAAAAAGAAATCTGAAACAGTAGCGTTTTGAAACAAACAGATCATGGGGTACACAGATCTTAAACACAAGACCCCGGATGAAGGTGGCAAATAGGATTTCAAGTATTATTTAAGACAGTGAATGTTAAAGTCATAAATATGATGAAAGATACATAAACAAATTTGTTTTGCTACTATGAACATTACAAATTAGGATACAATTTTATTGGTGCATTTCCCTTTGTATTTACACAAGATAAAGAGAGGACTTGTACTTTGATAGTCTACAAGGAATTTTTAAAATTTCAATCTAAGAATACTGATGTCGAGGTAATTTTATCTATACATAACATGAAATATTGCACAATGGATAATAGGTGCAGATTTGCTTGCTCTCTGGATGACCATCACAAAAGTAAATTGATTTTTTATAAAATGCTACACTGAAAAGTCAATAATTTATGTATGAATCAGAAAAACAAGGTAGCAAGTGTCCAATAGCCACCAAGAACATTTACAATTACAGGTAGTTCTGCTATAACGCATTTCGTTAAGGCGAATTGGCTGTAATGCGATTGATGAATAGTGGATACTGTTTGGATGACACAAACTTTCTGCTGTACAGGTATAATGATTTTCTATAGCGATTTTCCTATAGTGCAATTTTCTATGGTGGTTTTCTATAGCACAAGGTCACGCAAGAATGCAACTATCACGTTATAGGAGAACTACCTGTTTTTCTGAACAAACAGCACTTGCTACATCTGTGCCTGCATCCCAAGGACTGCGACAGGTTAGAAAGCAGCCCACTCCCACCTTCTCAAGGGTAAATAATGATGGGTAATAAATGCCGGCCTAGCCAGTAATGCCAACATGCCAAGAACAAATGGAAAAGAATTTATATCAAGTGCATTGAAAGATAAAAGAAGTTGGCAGGAGGACAAGGATGGGTATTTTCTGTAATTGCTAGGCTGTTTCAAACATAACATACAAGTTCAATATGGTGCGGAACAGCCAGTTTCTTGTCAGTATTTGTGAAATTTTAATTGCTTCAGATCAAACAACTTTGGTTGATTTTATGTTGCCTGGATTGGAAAACATCATGTTTTCACCCTCAGCATCCACTCAATTACAAATATTTACCTCAAGATCTGGAGTACTCACTTATCAAAACTGTCACTTGTCTTGATGAAATTCTCAAGTTTTTGGTTGGCATACTCCACAACATCAACATGCAGCTCTATTCCATGATTTACGCCAAAGGGGCCTGCAAGCAGAAACTTAATAGTCAATGATAGTAATTGGCCAGTAGAGGGAATCTAATCTTCACTTAAATTAAATAGATAGTTTATTTGTTATAAAAGCGGTTAATAGCATTCTTTCTAATGTTGTGCTGGCTTTAAAAATCTATTTCATTCCAAGATACAGGTCACATTCAAGTAAGTATACTAGTATGAAAAATTAGCTTAAAAATACATTGCACACATGAATTATATTGATCGAATGATAAAGTTTACAATAAAGAAATAATATCATTTCAAACACGATTGCAACATTCCTGCATACCAGACATGATACAATCAATCTGACTTTTAGCAGTCGATGATGTTAATGTTTTGTGATTTAATTCAACAGACATTAATGTGAATAGTATTTTTGGTTGTCTGTTAAACAAAAATCCAAGGGGCAGAAGGATAACAATAAAAATTATCATAAATTATTGAATGTATGATGTCTAAATAATGGTTCTAAGCAAGGTCATTTAATCATAATTGCTCTCTTGCCCAAGTGTCCTGCATTACATGGGACCAACAGTTCTAAATTTAGCAGTACAAAAACTAATATTCACTATATACTTGAGGACAAAAACAAAAAAAAAACTTCATTTACGTTCCATCATTAACACAGCAAAACTTCTCAAGGCATTTCACAAGAATGTTATCAATCAAAATCTGACTTAGCCACTTAAGGAGATAACATGCTGGATGACCAAAGGCTTAATCAAAGAGGTCACTTAAAAGGGTCTTAAAAAGAGTATAGAACCTTAGAGAGATGGAGAAATCTAGAATGGAGATTCCAGTGTTTAGGGCAGAGGTAGCTGAAGGCACAGCTGCTAACATTGGAGGGATTACAGTTAGTGACATACAAGTGTCGAGAATTGGAGGAGCACAGAGACATTAGAATGGTGTAGGGCTGGTGGGGGTCATAGAGCTAATGACTGTCCATTGCCATGGAGACATTTGAAAGCAAAAAGAGGACAATTTTAAATAAAGATATTGCTGGACGAACACAAAGGTGATAGATGAATAAAACTCAATGTGAGTTAGCATCTTGGCAGAACTTCGAACGAACTTAAGTTTACGTTGCCTGAAAAAGCAGATGCAGTAATGGTATCTACAAACTGCCAATTTCTTCCCCTTATGTCTATCAGAATACCATAAACTACAGTACTTTTTAAAAATACTACACATAGTTTTCAGGAGATGTCATTGTACATCATGGAATCTTAAGTCAATTACACATTATTTATCAGCTCACCTAAAATCAAGCCAACCATTGTACTCAAATAGCCAGTGCCACTTCCAAGGTTCAAAAAGGACAATCCAGGCTGTAGGTCCAGTGCTTCCATTACCTCAGAATAAATGCAGGGTGCAGACAAATGGATGTTACCATTTTTCCAAGCCAGGTCTTTATAGGCATTATCTTTGTAAATCTCCAAGTAATAATCAGCACGATCTATGGCTCGGAAAGCTTGCTCTACCACCTCCGTTCGTATGTAATGTGCTTCTTTTAGATTATCGATTAAATCATCATTGTCTTCACCAGCACTCACAGCACCTCCCATCTTTCTGAACTGCTGGAATTGTACATTAAAGTTAAAACAAAAATAGATATTATACAAGACAAAGGAAATAGCATCTCATTGTTGTTTGATAGGATATCACATGGACATTGAGCATCGCAATTCCAAAAGCACCAGTCTTTACATAAATATAACTAATTTCAAATTGACATTTGCTAACGTAGTCTCCCACCAAATTGTAGGAAGTTATATTTGCATAAATGAAAATCTCTGTACATTCTTTTTATTACAAGTATATGTGGATATTGCTATACCACATGAAACATTCTAATTTGTTTTCCTGTAAAGCAACATGGTGGCAAGCAGGTGAAAATACTTAGCTATAGTCTTACTTTGTATCATCTACCACGCTAATTTAAAATTCATATTATCAAATTTTCCAGTTTATAATACTCCCTTGGTTGCAGGCATTAAGCAACTTTTATACATGGTTCTTAAGAGACTGATTTCACTACATTATATTCGTCATACAGTTGATGCCAACAAATTGAAATGTAGTGCCACTGAATGGCTTAAAAATGCTGACAGAAGTGGAAACATATTGCAGTGTTGAGAAATATCTCAGAATGCTTGCTTTTGTCCATTAAAGAAAAGCCACATACTTTGGGCATAAAAACAGAAATTGCTGAAAAAGCTCAGGTCTGGCACTATCTGTGGTCAGAAATCATAGTTAACACTTCAGGTTGAGAGATCCTTCCTCAGAACTGATGGTAGCTAGCAAAGTGTTTGTGTACTGCAGTTTTAAAACTACTTAACGAACATATGGACAGGTATTTAAATAAGCATTGGCAAGTAATTTTGAAATGCAAACTTTTGCCTAACTGCTTAATATTCATGAAATACAAGTAGTGATAGCTGTAAAAACAGATTGATAATGTATGATCTGGTATTTGACCAGATGTCAGTACCAGAGAACCATTGCATGGACTCAGGATTCCATTATTCATTGCATCACCTGACTCCAGCAGCTATTAATACGGTAACTTAGTTTTACTATAGGTTTTAATTTTAACCACAGAATTTGCATTAATCTATATAAGCAAGTATCATTCCTTCAGTTTAATAAATTATGTCCTTGGTCTACTATACTTGATTTGATATTTTGACAGATACTTAGAGAAGCATATAAATGACCTCAAACTATAATTTCTGCTGCCTTCAGAGACCAACAGACAAGGGCACTTTCCAGTAAAACTGCATGAAAAAAATTCAGAGAACCCTAGGTTCAATCCCCCCTATTGACAGGAGTCAGCCAGCTTTAGGAAATGTGAGAAAATGTGCTAGGAACTGCAGCTCTTACTCCAGTTGGAAATTTGTGTGAGTGTTCAACAGGATTAGGCTAATCTATGATCTCTTTCACAGGTAAATGCCTACCAATACTGGCCATTTCAGCTCAAATACGAATGTGGTTCTGGGACAATACCAACAATCAGTTCCCTTCAGGAGAGAGGAGGGGCCAAATTAAAAATAGAAGTTCTCTGTGGCCTAAAAATAAATATTCATAGGCTAAAACACAACTTTTGTAACGTTTGTTTAGTCAGGCAGTCATCATATCAGGCTAACAAGGTGCAGAGCTGGATGAACACAGCAGGCCAAGCAGCATCATAGGAGCAGAAAGGCTGACGTTTCGGGCCTACGCCCTTCATCAGAAATGGGGGAGGGGAAGGGGGTTCTGAAATAAATAGGGAGAGGGGGGAGGCGGATAGAAGATGGACAGAGGAGAAGATAGGTGGAGAGGAAACAGACAGGTCGTAGAGGCGGAGATGGAGCCAGTAAACGTGAGTGTAGGTGGGGAGTTAGGGAGGGGATAGGTCAGTCCAGGGAGGAC